GGTTAAAATATATAATAAAAATGGAGTACGTCCACTAACAAATGGCAACAAACACAAATAATTATAACAAACAATTCATATAATAAGAATGAGACATTATTATTTTTTCCCAATATTTCTAAGGGATGTGCACATACACAAAGTAAACTGTTCCTAAAGATCATAGCTGTGGGATTCTTAGATATACAGTGCCACTACATAGCTGTCATCCAATCTATTTCATAACTGAGGCCCAAGGCGGATAAATTACTCAATTGATGTATCCAATAAGTTTCTCTCCTACTCAGTGCTCTGTACCTTACTGAATTTGGACAGTAATTTGTTCCACACACTAAATTTTGATATTTTTAATATCATGTTGGAATTCCAATAAATGTTTAACTAATGGTGCATGCATTCTCCTGTTTTTAATACAGCTTTATGCTTACAAATTCTGGTTTTAATTTTCTGGTGGTCACATCAACATACAGTAAACTACATGGGCATTGTATAACATAAATTACCCCACTTGAATTACAGGTAAAGAAATTTTTTAGATATTACTCTTTTTGATTAATTGGGTTTTTAAATGATATCAATTTGCAGCAATTGCTGCACACAGTGCAATTTCCACAAGGGAATTATCCTATAGGCTTGCTGGTACCTGTTATTAAATTATTTGATCCCAATGGCTGTTTTAGCTTACTATGTACCAACATATCTCTCAGGTTTGATGCTCTTTTGGTGGTAATTATGGGTCCTTCTCTACATCTCGGGATATCTTTCAAAAGAAACCAATATTTCATTATGATCTTCCTGACTTGAGTTATCTGACTGTTATGGGTTAATGCAATTAGCATTCTCTTCCCCCTGCAAATCTTATTTTTGTTTCTCAAAAGGACACTCCTATTTGTATTAGCAGCTTTATACATTGCTTCTTCTGAAGACGCCAGCCACAGATGCAGGCAAAATGTCAAGAATAAATTTGTCCAGAACATGGTCACATAGCCCAAAAAAACCCACAAAAAAACATTAGACACTGGCTCTTAAGCATAAAATTGCCTTTTTTAAAAAAAATTAGGTACCGTATTTAGAATTTGCAGTAACTATCACAGCTACTTGTTTTTGGTGCCAAAGAGTTTCAGAGAGTCTTTCAAGAGGTACAAACATGATCTCATCTAGAAACAGCATGAAATAAGTTCAGTAATAATAATTCCTTCTCTTTCCCTTAACAGACATCTCTGCTTAGCATTGAAGGCCTGTCTCCAAGTAATCTTCCCTTTTCCCGAATCAACACTAATCCCATCCGCACGGAATCAGTGCAGATCATGCCTTTGCCAGGCCAAAAAGGTAAGTGTTCTTGGTGCAGTTTGGAATACACCAGTGGTAGCCTTCTTTCCAGCCCCAGCTCCACAACCATCCTCAACAAAGTTAGGAATACAGTGGTACCTCTACTTACGAAATTAATCCGTTCCGACAG